GGGGACAGCACTCGGGTGACGCATCGCTCAAAGAACCTGCCGCGGTCGATTCCCATGTGCCATCCGAGCAGGGCGACCCGTTGCTATCAAGTGATGGTGCTGCTGCTGTTGGTGGTGCTGAAGGACCAGAACACATGCCAGAGGATCCCCCGCCAACGCAACGCCGCAAGTCCAAAATGCCAAGGGCTTCCAACCTGCCGCCACAACTCCGAGCGAGCGCCTTTTTCGATTTGCCGTCCACAACACCGCAGATCGAGGTCAAGGGAGGCTCCGCGATGGCGACGCTCGACAGCATTCTTGATGCCTCTGCCAATGCCCCTGTTAGTGCCTTCACCGACCACGCTTTCGCAGGAAAGTTGGGTAATGAGACGTACGGCCCCGATAAGAAAAAGAATCGCAAGTCTACCGCTACTGTCTTGCTTCCCGAAGAGCATGTTCGGGCCGCCTCGCAGAAGAAGAAGGGCGGACTCATGCCATTCAGCAAGAAATCCGACAATGGATCCAGGAAGAATTCCATGGCCGGCAGCAGAGAAGAGAACCAAGCTCTTTCTGATCACGTCGACGGCGAGGATAGGGAAAAGGCTGAGGGCGAGGGTTCAGATGAGGAAGAGGAAGAAGAGGAAGTCGATGAGTTTGCAGGAGTTCTCGATGGGCCCCCCACCACTCTCCTCGCTGAGCTGCAGTTGCGCAAGTACCACGCGAAAATGCGCACTCAGAACCCGAACCGTAACGTTGGGCAGAACGGCATGCATGCTACCCTCATCGAGCTGGACGCGGTTGCCGAGACGCAGAAGAGGCACCGTGAGAAGAAGAAGATTGCCCTTGCTTGGGAAGTCGATGGTGCCAAGGAGGAGGACCATAGTTCCGACGAAGACGAGGTTCCGCTTGGCGTTTTGTACGCCGGCAACCCGCACGTGGCTGAGAAGAATCGACCTATGGGTCTGATGGAGCGTCGTGACCTGGAAGAGAACGAGCCTCTCAGTGCCCGTCGCGCCCGTCTCCACGGCCAAGAGCCCCCGAGGATATTGGCTAAGCAGAGGAGCAACTTTACTCTCAACGCCGGTCTGAGCCAGATGCGCCTCAACCAGATGCCTTCCGCCGAGCACTTAAGGCCCGAGGAGGAGTCCGAGGACGAAGCTACTGCTGGAGAGACTCTCGGTGAGCGTATGCGACGCCTCAGAGCCAAGGACGAAGCCGAACACAACAACCTACCCAACGCCCGCCCCGTCAGTCGCGCATTCTCTGCGGAGATACTAGCCCAGTTTGGCGATAACGATGATAAGAAACCTGGAGACAAGGGCAAGGAGAAGGAGGCCCAGCCAGAGGGAGAGGAGACACTTGGCCAACGTAGGAAGAGACTGCAGGCCGAGCGCGAGGCGCGTGAGCAGGAAATGATGCTCAGCGGTGGGCCTGTCCAGGCTGAGGCCGAGGCGCCTACGCTTCGCAAGAAGCACAGTCTCGCTGACGTCCTCAACTCCCACCCGATTGCCTACAACCCAGCTCTGGACGAGCAGCGCCGCCTCGAGCAGGAGAGGCGCAAGGTTCGGGAACAAGAGGCCAAGATGGCTGCGGTTCGCGCCCAGATGCCGCAGACCCTGACCGGACCGAACAATCAGCGGAGTGGCGGCTACAAGAACGGCGCTTTCAACGACGCCAACGGAGGTACCGGCGGTGGGCTAGGTGCCCGAGGTCTCCTTGCGCAGCCTGGACTCCCGCCTGTCAATGCCACCTTGGGCGTCAATATGGGACCTGGCGGATGGAATCGCTCCAGCATGGCCTTGAGCAACTACGGAGGGCCATTCCAGCAGCCCATGCAGCAGCAGCATCAAGTGTACGGAAATCCAGGTATGGCTCAGCTGAGCCAGCCGAATCTGGGCGGATACGGAGGCTACACTGCTGGTGGTATGGGAGGCATGAACAACATGGGGGCCATGAACGGCATGAACCCCTACGGCGGAGGCATGGGTGTGCCGATGCAGATGCAGCCCATGGGTATGCAGCAAGGTATGGCGCCGATGCCGATGCAGCAGATGCAGATACCTATGCAACCCGGTCACAATGGGCAGATGCAGTCCATCGAGCGCTGGAGGCAGAGTGTCATGTACTAGACGAAGGCCAGCCCGGATCTACAATACCTCGACCGACCAACTACCTACCTACACACTAATCCCTGGGCGGACGCACAGTCTGCAGGAGCTGTATATAAACAATCACACACAACTATGGCATTGCGAGGGGAGTTGGATTGATTTTTCTTTTGTTTGAATAACCTGTTGGTGGTTTTGCGAAGCACAGAGCGATGCGAAGCATTGGGATACAATAGGGGGGTTTTGGGGGGATATGGGTTTCTCGGGTTTACCTATACCAGGTACGAGGGGATTATCACATTACATACAACGTATACACACCAATTCTAATAACCACAACTGTGAACCTCGTCTGCTTTTGATGTGGCCCAGGCATTGTGGAGAAAGTGAGCAGACAGCCGGAAGACAAAGGTTGTAGGATGGATGACTTCACGAGGTAGGTGCTTCCTGTCGAGTCTCTCGAGGGAATTCTGGTCCAAGTATGGAGGTATGAAGGCGTGTCACTAACAGATCTCTTTGCTAATCTGCTCTGATGTGTTTGTGAACTCGTGTGAAATGGTAGGTGTCTGTGTTCCTCAAGGAAATAAGGCCTCATTAGGACTAAGGACAAAAGGCCTTTGAGCCAAATCAGGTTGACTGTGCCTTCGTAGGCTGCGTGCCACTGTCAGCTAGGCCTACCAACACGATCACCGCCATCACTGTCACCAAGAAGATTTATAACGCAGAGACCAACTTATTCGTCTCGAAGTGCTCTCATCGTTGAGGGTGACTTGGTGGGGCCGGCGACCGGAGCCCATTGTCCGTCTCCCGGCCGGACCCACAACATCACTTCTGACATGATCGGCGTCAGCCGTCTCTATGCCTGATATGAGGCTAAATCTCTGAGCAACCTCAATCACTATGTAAGTATCTCCGCTTAACGCTTAATACATGATCAGCGAACACCAACCAGGAAACCCGAAGCCGATAGTTGCTACAAATCTCAATCCTGCGCGACAAAAGCCACCAGCACCGCCGCACAGGCCGCCGTCGCCAGGATGATATCCGTCCTCCGCCCGTCCGTCATGACGGCTAAGCTGGCCGCGAAGACGCTGGTGAAGACGGCGATCATGCAGAGGCGCAGGACCTCGTTGTGGACGAGGTAGAGGGTGACGATGGCGGCTTGGATTACGAGGGAGGCGGCGAGGACGGTGATTATTGTGACGAGGCGGGTGACGTGGCGGGCGGAGTAGTATTTGACTTCTGTAGTTTCCTCGTGTCGTTTTCCCTGGTTCAGACTATCAAAAGCTATTCAATTTCGCTATAGTAGTGGACTAACGTACCGCTAGGTACCTACCTGCAAGATCTTCGAGGTTTCGGGTGAGGAAATCTGCGCCTGATGATGGGGCGAGGGCGATGAAGTCGTCTCGCTTGTTTGGTAGATCGTGGCCGTGGCCGAGGAAGGGTTGTTCGGAGTCGAACCAGCCTTGGAAGACACGAAAGACTCGGTCGTTGGGGGTAGTAAACTTCATGACTTGGCTTCGCAGAACCAAAGCTTCATCTATATCCCGTCACAAAGATTGCTCTTGTGGTCAATCCTCGAGGCACGTACGGTATTCTTTCATGGTTCCCTGTAGTCGATTCACAAGATCCATCTTCTTGGCCTCTCTTGAACCATTTTCCTGGGCTCTTATTGCAAATACTTCCCAGCACTTGGTAGTGAGAAGGCTAGCATCGTCGACGCTTGTGGCGTCATCCTCGTCAGACTTTTGTAGTTCGGCCTCGATCTCGAGCATTCTTGACTGTAGGTGAAGAAGGTTACGAGCGCTCAAAGCTTGGAAGCTTCTGAATACGGATAGCTCAGGATCAGATGCAATGAATACCGAGAAAGCTGCATGGCTTAAGACATCGGGCGGTACGGTAGTCATGTGTGAGGTGGGGGTTATCTCCTGCTCAGTCGAACAACCAGCGTTACTTGCACTGGTGGCAGCCATACTTTTGAAGAACCTAGGGGAATATATCGAGAACGTGCAAGAGGCCAGAAGATGCCAGAAGGGGAAGTCGAAAACGCATCTTGGCCAGAACGTACTTAGTTTAAGCATCTTTGTCATGCGCTCGCCGAGGATTGTCTTACTTCAGTCATCACTATGCAAATCAAAGCGGACTGTGAACTTGTGCAACAATGCCACCTAGCTGTCTGGCGAGGGGAGCTCGTGGTTGGATGCCCGGTTTCAAAGTGTCAATATGCCTGGGCAATGAACTGGCCAACCACATCCACTCCGGACAGGACTTGTCAGTGGCGCAGCCATGATTCGAAAGACATCCTCGAAAACACCACTGCCTGATCTCCTCTTTCCTTCAGTAGAGAGCTTCTTACTTTCTTCCCAACCTTCGACATCACACACACTGCCTAAGGCGACCCTCTCTACGAGCACCTACCTTCAGAAACTTGCAAGATGGTCTCATGTGATTTCAACCTTGAGGGCCTTGGGGGGTGGGTTGCTACAGGTATTCCAATCGAGACAATGTCGCAGGGAGACGAGTTGGGATTGTTGAAAATGCGGCTGAATGAACGTGCTCTCCGAGACAATATCGAATCCCGCTTCCATTGGAATCCTCTACATGACCACACAATGCCACGTTCGCAATGCAGATTTTGCAGCTTGAGTAGGCCGGGGAGGCAAAAAGGTAAGGATGAATCGCAATCCGCTCTTCACTTTGCGTCAAACAACATTGCTCATACAAATCTCATCCCCTTCTTCAGCGACCAACCCCAACGAAGGCATCATTACAGCACGAGGATTAGTAGACGGGTACCATGTCAACGCACTTCCCGATACTGGCGCTGGCTGTAACTTGGTGTCTTCCTCGCTCGCCAAGCGACTCGGTTTCGAAGCGCCGTGCGACTTGCCAGAGAAAAATACCGGCCTCTGCATGGCCAACGGCAAGACCATCATGAGTGCGGGAGCTATTAATGCCTCGTGGGCATTTGCGGAAGACCCAGAGCGTACCTGGCACCTCACATTTCAGGTCATCGATGGTTTTGCTCTAGGCCTCGTCCTAGGAAGCGAATTCCTCAAATCGTCAGGCACAATGAACCAACACCGGGCTCGTCTTAGCATGATCCCTCGACCTCAGTGGGCTACATCGGTTCTCTTCACAAGCAGTATTGGATCTATAAAAGAGCGGCTGCGAGGGACAATCAATGGTATCGAGGTCCAGGCACTTGCGGACTCAGGATCAGAGTCAAGTCTCGTTTCGCTCGACTTTGCGCGCCGTCGTAGAGATTGGCATGCAGATATTGATTGGAGTGACCAGCGTCTTTTGCGTTTCCCTGACGGCAAGTTTGAAAAGACTATGGGCTCCGTATCAGCAATCTGGGCGTACGAGAGCCACTCTTTGGGCTCGGCATCAGCAACTTGGGCGAACGAGAGCAGTATCCTATTTCACATTCTTGAGAGTTGTGTTCATGATGTCATCTTAGGTCAAGCTGCGCTCGAAGCGATTGAAGCTTTCACTGAGCATGCTTCTTCGTTTATCGAGGTCGATGAAATCCCAGCGCCGATGGAGTTCAACTTGGTCATATGGGTACCTGCCAAGCGACCGAAGTTCGACCAAGCCACGGATACAGGCGCCACGCCTTCGCAGAACCAGCAGACCTCAAACGAGCATCAAGAGCTTCCGCTCGAAAGCCAGACTTCGGAAAATCACACGGGACTGGGTACTTCTCTGTTCAGCCCTAGCTTCATGTGGGCTGAGTTGAAGAAGAAGGGGAAAGCAAACAAAGAATTGAACATAGAACGTTGGCTACGACCTACTGCTGGGTGGCCCAAAAGAGACGCTACAATTGCAAAGGAAGAACACAGAAAAAACACAGAAAAACAAACCGGCGACCCGCCTCAGGGTCATAGGGGTTCTGAATTATCAAATTTCATGGCAAGAGAGATGGAGTTCGAGGCCAGAACCAACCAAGATTCGCGTAAATCAAGGTTCTTGTTTCGCTGACTCGACAGTCGATGCCTGACAACGCTCCGCCAAAACCGTCATCTTCGTGTATTTCGAAAGTCTCTGTACAAGCGGCAGGAGGAGGAGCGTCGCTGGCTGTGACTTGGCTTGTAAATCGACAGCTTCTTGAGGTAAAGAGTAGTAGTGATGAGAGTCGACGTCATGAGGACAGAGGCATCGACCTTGCGGCTTGGGAAGATGGTTGGATCGGCGGCCCTGTAGTTAAAAGATCAATATCAGCCCTACGGAGCAAGACTGGATTATGATGCGCCCGTGCATGAAACATGCCATGGGTGTTTCTGGCGCTGGACAAGTGTCCCGATCTTTTTTTGGAGGCAGCCCGAGTTCAGGGGGAGAATGCGCGTGTGCAAGTACAGTCGTCATTTCTAGAAGCACTGTATCTTCTCTGGGTATTTAGCCGTTAAAAGCCGTGCCAATACAGGTAGCAAACGGTCTAGAATCCCTGAGCTGTAACGGGGACCTCTCCATCTTTTTTTTATCGGAACGCGTATCGCAACGGTTAGCTCGCGTGCTGCCGGACCGACGTCGTCAGCCCCCAAACCAAACATTTACAGATTATCTGCCCTCCTCCCGCTGCCTCCGACATAAGCGGTAGCCAATTCTTCTTTTTTATCGCCACAGATCGCCATACCTCGGGAATGGAAGCGTCACCGCTGACCCGTCAGGCCCCGCCCGAGGTCTTCAAGCCCAAGATCGTACAGTTGTACGAGTCGCTGTTCAAGGTTCGACAGCTCCGCTTCTCCCTGCCTTTGTGACCCCTCGGCCATGTCTCTGTGTGTCCAAGGTACTCTGTCGCCGATTTCATGTAGGACTTGTTGCTAACATTCTCTCTCTAGGTGTGTTCTCTCCTCGATCCTTATACCCACGAACCCCGAGCTTCCCCCATTGCGCCTGGCCGAGCATTCCCCCTTGACGATCTTCAACTTCCGGACCGCATGGCCGTATCTTCCTAGACATTACTGCTACGCAAAGAAGCACGATCCTGTACATTGGCAACCCGCTGATACGAACTCCATGATTGAGTAGGACGCCGAAGATGACGCAGAACGTTCCGAGGGCTTCTGGCGCGAGTTCTTCCTCCTGCGGCCCGACCGCCCCGCCCTGAAGCGAATCCTCGATGGCCTCGGGCCGGCGGACATGCTTGCGTTGGAGGAGCATACAAGGGAGCTTTTCGCGCGCGCTGTCACTGCTATGAAGAGTGGACAGGGTGTCGCAGATCTGCATGCGCTTGACGTGAGTAGGGCATAAGCTCGTCCCTTGGCTTTCGCGCTGAAGCGAGGTTTGGAAGTTGCTGACTTGGACTGGGAGGATGGTAGACTCTAAGCGTGTTCCTCTGCTCGGCTCTTTCGAAAAAGTATGCGCACCCTAGCTCGGATATTATTATCGTCTTGGCTGGGATCGATTATGTCGATACGATCTTTACGGACTTTGTGGGCGCTGTGGACCAGATCATTAGGAGTGGGAAGAGCTGTGAGTTTGGCATACGGGAAAGCCACTACGGTCAAGTACGAGACGGACTAACGCGTTGCAGTGGAATTGCGACAAAAGGCTGTCGAGGTTGTCCTGGCTGTGACGGCGGGCGCATACCAGACAAGTCTCTTGACATACTTCATCCAGAGGGACCTCTTCCCCTCAGTAATGAAGGTTGGATCATTCTACCCTTGCAACTTGTGCGAGCCTCAACTAACGATCCCGCAGTTTATACAAGACACCGACACAACGGAGCGCATCCTCAGCCCCTTTTCCCTCCTCGGCCTCTTGGCGAACTACAACAAATTTGAGTTCCAGAACCCCTACCAGATGCGACTAAACGACTTTGTCAACGAAGCGACAATCAAGAAGATCATTCGGTGTATCGGCCAGACGTGCGAGAGCTTGACTACACAATTCGTGGATGTGCAGGACGACTTACCCGAGGGGTGGACGTTCAACGGCACGCTGCGTATGATTGGCCTCGGCGCGGTTGCGAGGGGCCCCAAGCCGGAAAAGAAGCCCGTCTACGATGCCGAGACCATGAAGCAGATGTTTACGAAGCTGTGAGTATCCTCTGGCTGACCTTGGAGTGAAGAAATGTGGCGACTGACAAGAAGCAGACCCGGCGAGGAAGCAGCCGTGTTGCTAGCAACCTATGACTTTACACACGCCAACAAGCTGTTCTGCTTCAACCTCGCCACCCTGCCTGCCGAAAAGGGCGAAGAACAGCCATTGGCGGCCTTCACATCACTCACCTCCTACCTACTCCAGCACGCCCATCTCTCCGAACGCACGACACACTACTCGCATCTCAACCTCATGGTCTTCCGCTTACTAATCGAGGATCCCGTACTATGCAAGCGCATATGCAGCGAAGAGTCCAAGGGACAAGTCCGTCTGTGTCGCCAGAGGCAACCGTTCCTCCCGCTGGTCAGAGGGGACCGGATTCTGGCGACGGCCGTGCTGGATACCATGGTGGACGGCATTACACACAACCTGCGGAGGAGGCTGGACGTCGGACTCTACACACTCTGCGTCGGAATCCTGTTGCGGGTGATTTCCTATCTCTCGAGGTCACGGACACGACTGACGTATCACTGGGCGGATATCTTCCGCGCGTTGCTAAACCTCATTCGGTTCCTCACGCAATACGTCGCGGACCTGAAAGACCTCTCGCAAATCGACCTCCTGTTAGACAACGTCGTCAACCTTGTGGCGCTCTCGCTGTCGGCTGGCGAAGGATTCCTGCCGTCGCCAGCGGCATACGACGATCTATTCTACAAGGTCGTCGAGGCTGGCGACACGCTGACCAAGTTCAAGGAGAGCTATCAACTCGGCAAGCGGCCGAGCAACTCGATAGACACGCTCATTAGCGTGAGCACGCACTACAAGGAGCTGCTGGCGGAGGGCGGCAAGAAGAAGGGGAACCTGACAAGCATGCAGGTGACGGAGGTGATTAAGCAAGGGTACGAGACGCTGAGTATACAGGCGAAAGAGGGGCTTGATACGTGGGATCGGTATCGGGAGGCGGATGAGAGGACGTTGTTGAAGAAGATGGCGAGGGCGGCTGTTGCTGATGTGAGAGGGTTGGTGGAGCGGTAAGAATTGGTGAGCTGTGAGCTGTGAGGCAAGGAGGATTGGGTGATAGACTGTATGATATTAATGACACCCGAGATGATTCTCATGAAGCGTTGTGTTGGAGTCTGGTTGATCGATATTTGGCATGCTCAGTTGAGGCTCGTTGACTGCGGCTCTAGCCTCAAGAGCTAACCTTGAGTACTTGAACTTCTAGGCTGTTATTCGGCATATCAAGTGTGGTTCCACAGGCTGTTTAGGATTGGATGTGAGCTCTTCCTTGTCAGTCCGGGCAAACCTAATCTCGAACCACATCGATTCCCCGAGAGTCCAGGAAACTCGGCAACGTAGTGTAACACTGGACAAACAAAGTACCTGACTAAGGTAGTTTGGATAAGTTAAGAATGAATAAGGCCTTTGAGGCCCTCAAGGTATTATGAGTTGGTCATGAGAAACAAAGCAAAAGCCAAGGCCCAAAAGGCACTGAAGGAAAAGAGGCTGCTTTGTCATCTGTCACGGCCGTTGACAAATTACAGGCTTCTGATTGGCTGAAGTGCACCCGGTATACTGGAGACCGCTCACCAGGTCATAGCCGCGCCACGGCGAGAACCTGTCAAATGACCCCCCCTTGGCCCCAGCTTCTGTTGCTTTGCTCCGAGTGCCAGCCACATTCCCATTGCCAATCCATCCCGACCGCAAAAACGTCCGACCTACAATTCCCGCCTGTTTCTTTCGTCACCGTCGAATGATTTTCAACTCTCTCAACCTCAACACCTGATCCTTCGACGACAAACACCACAAAACAAAACGGGAAAGCAATCTCACCTTGGTGCCATTCCCTCTAGCAAACTCGACTTCGTCACAAAGACACACTCAACCTCTAGCACAAAGATGAATGCACCGAGGATACTCAGCAGAGTGGCGTTCCGCCGCTCCTGCACGGCATTGCAGTGCGCCTCTGCCCGTCGCGCCTACGGCAGCCCGTCTTTCCAGTCATATCCTCTCTACTCAAACAACACACTCCCTCCAGCGAGAGGCGACGGCATCCCCGAGAGCTCCATCGCATCGCCGGATGCTCTGCCGAAGGTCAACGAGACGAGACCTCCCAAGATCCCCTCGCAAATGGCGACAGCCCACCAACAATCCTCGACACCGAGCACTCTTTCCTCTTCCTCCACCTCACAGTCCTCGACGACAAAGACAACAACAGCAGCGACCTCATCCGCAACAGCCAAGGCCACGACGACGTCATCAGCAGCAACCGCTGCCGCCGCGGCCCCCGCGCCAAAGGTCTCCGAACAAGCAGCTCAAACCCCCAAGCCAGCCGCCCGTCCGAAGCGCACGCTCCGCGCCCGCAAGGCGGCGATGAAGCTCAGCCCCGCGGCGGTAGAGCAGCTGCGCGCGATGCTGGACCAGCCGGAGCCGAAGCTGATCAAGGTCGGCGTGCGGAACAGGGGGTGCTCGGGCCTGGCGTACCACCTCGAGTACGTCGAGAAGCCGGGGAGCTTTGACGAGGAGGTGGTGCAGGATGGCGTCAAGGTGCTGATTGACAGCAAGGCGCTGTTCAGCATTATTGGCAGCGAGATGGATTGGGTTGAGGATAAGCTGAGCCAGCGGTTTGTGTTCAAGAACCCGAATATCAGTGAGTCTACGTCGCTTCTTACCGTTTTGGGAAAATGGTTTGCTAACCACTTGAACAGAGGAGCAGTGTGGCTGCGGAGAGTCTTTCATGGTTTGAGAGGAGTTTGTAATACAGCAAAGACTGAATGAGTCGCCAGCGAGAGAAGAGACAGCATGAGCATGCGCTGCTTTCGTAAGCGGGTCAATGGCTTCGATATACACTTTATACATGGCCGTCATCTCCATCATAGAGAAGGGGAGATTGCTGACGGCACCGGCACCGGCATCAAGTCATGCTACGGCGTCTTTGTACATCACGGCTCCGTTCCGAGCACTTTCGACATTTCGGGTTGAGGATAAAGGCATTGGGAGGCGTTTTATACAGGTGTAATGATACCTACGAGAAGACCTGGCTCATCGTCCGGGCGCGAATCACTGAGATTATTAGTTTCACTTTCAATTGAACCTGAAGAGTGAATCAACTACTTTGTTGTCCTGAATGAGGTCATACGTACTGTGTATCCGTATGCCGAGCATGGCGGGCGGGCGGAGGCCACAGTGTATCTCCGACCGAATCCGAGTGCCGGGCAGCCCCACTGTCGAGAGAGAGCGCGGCTTCTTACCCGACGGCTGCCCTGTGAATCGACACCCCCGGCAGTGGCAGTCGCCTCCAGACGGCAGTGGAGTGAAGGGGCCTCCAGGCTCCTGGAGGTACCTGAACTGCGGAGCGAGGCGTCCCGAGCCCCACTAGAATTTCGAGCTCAATTGCCAGGCGCGTCATTGCACTCAAAAATTCCCCCAAAGGCGCGTCTCCTCCAGTCACAGCTCAACCTTCAAATTCACACGAATTCGCGATAGTTGCTCCAACATCGCCGACTTGACACGAATTGACGAATCAGGACCTACTCACGTACAAAACAGTCGTTTTTGCCACAGAAGACCCCATTGCATGCGTCACAGCATCGTCTTCCATTCAAAATGGCAGCAGTCGACTGCCCCATCTGCAACAAACCCGTCAAGGAGACGCTGATCAACTCCCACATCGACTCGGGCTGCCAAAACCACATCTTCAACCCCGAACGAACCTCCTCCCCGCCGACAGCGACACAGTCTAATGGCACTCCTAGCTCTACACTCACCTCATCACAAGCCAAGCGGCCCGCCTCCTCCTTCTTCTCGACCCCCGCACCGAAGCGCCATGCCCCTCCCGCCAAAGTCCAGACGACCCCGTCCAACGGCACGACGACGACAGCAGCGGCGACGACTACTCGGCCCATGGCGGGTATGAAACGGAGATTCGACGACGGGCCAGGCGAGCTGCCCTCCCCCATGGCGACGGCCACCGACACAGACAGCGAAGCAACCCAACAAACACAACCACCAGAAACCGGGCCCTCGGCGAAGCGCACAAAGACAGCTCGCGCAGCGCCCCTCGCAGAGCGTATGCGTCCACGAACCCTAGACGAAGTCTGCGGCCAGGACCTCGTCGGCCCGCACGGCGTGTTGCGTAGCCTCATCGAGTCGGACCGGGTCCCCTCCATGATTCTTTGGGGAGGCTCGGGAACGGGCAAGACGACGATTGCGCGGTGTATTGCGCACAGCGTCGGCTCACGCTTCATCGAGATGAATGCTACATCGTCCGGCGTGGCCGAGTGCAAGAAGCTGTTTGCGGAGGCGGCCAACGAGGGTGCTCTTACGGGCCGCAAGACTATTATTTTCTGCGACGAGATACATCGCTTCTCCAAGTCACAACAGGATGTTTTCCTGAAGCCAGTCGAGGCCGGCACGATTACACTTATTGGCGCCACGACGGAGAACCCTTCTTTTAGAGTTCAGGGCGCGCTGCTCTCGCGGTGTAGGACGTTTACCCTGTCTAAGCTCTCGAGCGAAGACGTGGCAAGGATCCTGCTCCGCGCCATTGACGAAGAGGCGCGAACGAATAACTTCCCCGGTAGCCCGCTCGTCGACGCGGAGCTGGTGACGTACCTGGCTGCCTTCTCCGACGGTGACGCCCGCACAGCGCTGAACCTGCTCGAGCTCGCACTTTCGTTGTCAACGCGCGCCGGGACGACGAAGGAGAGCATCAAGGCGTCGCTCACCAAGACGCTCGTGTACGACCGCGCAGGCGACCAACACTACGACACCATCTCCGCCTTCCACAAAGCAGTCCGCGGATCAGACGCCGACGCGGCGCTGTATTACCTCGCACGCATGCTTCAGTCTGGCGAAGACCCCCTGTTCGTAGCACGACGCATGGTAGTCATCGCCTCTGAAGACGTCGGCCTGGCAGATAACACTCTACTCCCGCTCGCGACGGCGGCGTATACCGCCGCGCAGCAGATCGGTATGCCCGAGGCTAGGATCCCTCTCGCGCACTGCGCCGTAGCGCTGAGTCTCGCGCCGAAAAGCACGAGGGCGTATAGGGGTCTGAATAATGCCTACGCGGCGCTCAAGGAGCCTGGTGCGGCAGCGTTGCCTGTGCCGTTGCACTTGAGGAACGCGCCGACGAGGTTGATGAGGGAGATGGGGTACGGTGCGGAGTACAAGTACCCGCCGAATTATCGGGAGGGTAGGGTGAGGCAGGAGTATTTGCCCGATGAGCTTGTTGGGAGGCGGTTTTTGGAGGAGAGGGATTTGGGGACGGAGGTGGATCCGGATTTGGAGATGGAGGTTGAGTCTTGAGAAGACCTGACCTGGTCAACTAACGGAAAGAGGTTGGTGGTTGATTTGAGCGTAGCATTATATCTTTCCGCTTAGACGTGTACGGCGTCGCCTTGGATGGCTTCGAGCTTTGGGATAGAAGCTCGTCTGGTCCTAGAGGAACGGAGAATATTGCATAGAGCGCGTGGCATGGCATGGCCTCTAGGATAGGCATCATATCTCGAGCTCAGGCATGATGATGGAATGTACATGTAATAATACGTGTGCCTGCAATTCTCCACGTATGATGTTAGACGCAAAGAGCAGTGAGTTGACGGCTTGTGCAATGGGATGACAAGCCCGAATCAATGCATATGGAGTCTCAGGAAGCTGACCATGTCATCAACACCTTGCGGCTCGTTAACCCAGTGACCTCCAGATTGATACTCATGCCATTCCACTATACATGAATTCACGAACGAATCAAGGGTCGTCCGCAACTGCCGACCAAGGCTGATGTCAACGACTTCATCGTCCACAGCGTGAGCGAGGAAAATAGGAGTCTTGGCCGTTGAATCTGTCCCGCTCGCTCTGCGATAGAGTGAACCCTCCTCCGCCAATTCATCGATGACCTCAGCCGGCGGCATCCAGCTGCACAAACCAACCAGCCCACCTAATCCACCTAGCCTCGGCGTAGTCAAAAAAGCGGCGATGGAGGTTGCGAATCCCTGGCTAATACCGCCTAAGAATATCTTATCCATCGGAACCAGGGCAGATTCGCTCTCGACGAGGGTGACGAGGTGTTCGATGCTTCGTCTTAGGCCGGGTTGTTGGATACCGGCTTCTTCTTCTGGGTTTTCTAACGACCAGACGTCGAACCACTGTGACATTTCGGTACCGAATCTCTTGGATGGAAGGAGCGCGGCTCCGGGAAAGACCCAGCGGATAGATGGGAATAGGTCTGGGAGCGTGCGTGGTTGGTTTGCTGGTTCTGATGCTTCGCTTTCGAAGAGCTCGGTTGCGAAGTCGGCGCAGGTGCTGTCTCTGCCGTGGAGGAATATGATTGTGTGGGTGTGTGTCGCTCTAGGGTCGATGTAGTGCGTGGTGAAGTCCATGTTGGTGATGTTTTGTCAGGTTCTTGGAGCGGAGCTGTGGGATGTTTGTTTTGGGAAGGGAGGGGGGGGGGGGGAGGCTTTGAGGCATGTATGCCTACCAGAGGTGGAGACCGAACCTTGACGGTGCCAGACCTGGTTAGTTGCCAGAGGTCGTACTTTCCTCAGGCCGGGGATCTTGACAAGCAGTCTTGCTTGCTCACGAAGTAACAGCGACACCTCAAGCCCATTAAGGTACTCAGAGAAGGACTTTCTAGCGGAACCATCGAGACATGCAACTATATAAAACGCTCTTGAGTTAGTGACAGGTCGCAAATCATCGTAGTCCGTTCGCCTTATAAGCCTTGAGGTAGGGCGTTGATCTGATTTGTGAAAGAGGTCGTGGTCGCGAATAGTGGCCCCTTGGACATATGTGATTTGTTAGTTACCTTATTTGACGCAGACTAAAGTTTCGGTATATCGGTCTCCTCATCGATACCCTCATTTTTGTTATCCTTCATGTTGCTTTCCTCGTCATTTTCGTTCTTTCCAGGTATGTCTAGTAGCGCTTGAAGGGTATTCTCCTAGGGAATCAGCCAAAAGGATGTAGGAGATTTATGATGCTCCACCAATAGAGAGAAGTACTAGTTACCTTGGCTGCATGGCGTTGATCTTATCATTTTCGAAGGCTGTGTAGTGTGGCAGGCTTTCTCTGTCTCAGAGCTGAAGCGGTTCATAAGCCACAGCTGCACATCCACTGGCAGTATCTGGGCCAATAATGTTGTTATTGGTCAGATAAGAACCTGGTCTGGATTCGTTTTCAGCTCTCTGCAGTGCCATTGAGTGCTTACATTAATATCTGAGCGTTGGCCCGGTGAGCAGGAAACCTGCAGGATATCTGCCCTCAAAAAAAAGAGGCAACCAATCGAGAGACGGTTAGATCACAGGGGATAGGAGAGTCGTAATTCAGCAAGGTGGCGGACATCTTTTACTCTTTCAGAATTACGTACTTAGAGACCCCCTTCGCTCTAATTATCTACGATGCAGCTTGCATTAGGGCTTGCTGAAGTGTATTGTCAGGCCTCGCCGGTTAAGGGATAGCTTAAGGGGCATGAGGAGGGGAACCAAGCAACAAAGGAGCAGCTCAGGCATATATAGAGCGCTGGTAGTACACCTCGAGGGAAGGGCAGATTTCAGTAATTCACCTTCTATACCCTAACAGCAGTTGGCTTCTGTGAGCTTCTTCCCTGTGTCATACACCTATTGACATGTATTGATGCCTGAATCTTGTCAAGTTAAGGAGCTTGGAGACTTGAAACATTTTGCCCAGACTTCACTCCTTGCCAAATCCCGATCTTTTGGATACTTTCAGAGGCTCCGTTGCGAGGAGTTTCCCACATCTTGCGGCCATTCCACTTGCCTTTCATCTCATTCATGGATGCAGACACGTTTGATGGTATGGCAACAGGTGCGGCGGCCAGCGATACGCCAAGACGGCCAATTGACAACGACAGCCAGACAATGGACGACACGCACGCATCGGAGTCACCTCAATGGCCCAAGAACGAAAGTGCACAAAAGGAGGTCGACCACACGATGACTCCTCAGGCAGAAACACCATTACACCTCTTTCTTGGCGAACTCGACTTAGAATCCGATGCCGAAGCCAAGCTCGCAGAGTTGTCCGCCATTCTTGCAGCGTCACCAGAAGACATTGATACTCGATCATTGGAACCCCCCCACAAGACCCCTTTGCAGATCGCGATTGAGAAAGACGTTATCCGGGCCTTCAACTTGCTGATACAAGCTGGTGCCGATGTCAATGCCTTGGATGGAGAAAATACACATTCATTTTACCACGCACTTGCATATCCGAATAGCCCGTACTTGAAAGTACTCTTGGAACGCGTGGGCCAAACAGAGCACCCTAACTCTAGCGGCCGGTGCTTTCTCCATCTCTGGGGCTTTTATCACCAAGAAGAAAGTATAATGCGACGTGTGTTTGAGTTTCACCGACATTTCCTGAACGAACAATCATTCCCTTCACTCCAAACACCACTCAACTATGCTGTCTATCACGAAAAAAAGGAAGTCGTTGCTTTTTTACTTGAACAAGAGCCAGATCTTGGTATCGTGGATTGGAATGGATGTTCGCCCTTGATGGTGGCGCTCAGGAAAAGTACTTCCGAGATTTTTGACATTCTGGTTAACCATCTATTCGAACCTGGGAGGGAACTCACCGCGAAAGATGTCATCAGCCGGAACAGCAAGCTAGGAGTATCTATTTTCATGGAATTCCGCAGGTCGAGGTCTGGCGATGAGGCATGGGAAGCCTCTTTTGCCAAGCTTCTTGCCAACATTCTTGAAAATTTTCCTGACTTAGAATTCAATACGACCCCGGATTACGAGGACCTTCTGGACTTTGCGATGTTTTCGACGAAGCACTTCAAGAACAAAACCATGAGCAAATTCGCGTTGAGGGTCATTGATTGGGTACCGAAAAGATTACTTTTCCAGAGGTTCCAGGAAGGTAAAGCGACATTCTCTCATAGAGTACCTTATTTGACGACCTTGGCTGATCACAAGAAGACGCTGCTTTCATGGATGAGCTTCTTTGCTGGCTTGCATGTCAACAAGAGCGGCACTATGTGGCCGTTCCCATTCTCAAAGAACTGCATGCTCAAGAGCAGACTGGAAATATCGACCAGAATGGCTGGACGTTGGATCACTGGGCAATATATCATAGGTTGCCTTCAGTGCTTCTACGGTGCCCGCCTTTGACACCCGACGACAAAACTCGCGGCCTGGAGATTATTGGTCAACTGAAAAAGTCAAGCAAAACAAAGGAGCAGCAGCCTTTCGCAAAAGACAGTGCCAGGGAAGTGAAACAAGAGAATCAAAGCACCAGGAATGAGGAAGGTCGTACAGAAACTCAGGCTCGAGTCCTCGACGGAATGAAACATATCCTTGACTTCATCGGCCTAGAGACAACCCTTAGAGCCAGGGAGCCCCTCAGAATCACCAAACCGACCAGCAGCGGAATCAAAGATTGCTTGAACGAGTTCCAGGCAAGCATTGTCGAAGCCCGACAAAACGAAAATGAGTTCAGCATGGGTACTAGATTTAGGGGGGTCTACAATACCATTTATGATGAGAAGGAAAGTTTCACGACAATCAGAGACGCAATAGAACAGTTCCAAAAGTCGACTAAGAAGTTGGCTCCAAGCACCCAAGTGCCTGGGGAAGGCCTCACGTGGGTCCATCTTCCAGCAGCCAATGTAAGCCTGACAAATTATCTGAATTTTCCTTGGGATGAATAAAGCTAATCAAGTGAAAGATGGAATGGATGATGGTGAGATCACCGAATAAACTTTCTCTCATACGTTCTACACTTCATCATACATTTCAAAACTAACAGTATTAATGAATAGGATACTATGAAGAAAATTTATATTTCACATCCAGCCCGACTCGAACACTGGAATGAGGTTGCTGCTTTTTTGCGTGCAAGCTGGTCTCAGATCCCAGACAAAACATCCCCATCACGATTCATGCGGCCTCAATACGTCATTCTGAATCATAAGGAAAGAACAAGCAAAAGTTAGTCCAAGTGCCTTTCCTCTTTGGACATTGCTTCCATCTGATGTGGCCTCAATATTGCAGACAATGACACTTATTCCCCGGGAACTGGCAAGAATGGCGGACTGGCTTCCGCTTTTTACGTAAGACCAGTCAATAACAACATCGAATACTCTTGTAGACATCTGATGATGAAAGCAGATGCCGTTTATCTTGGCCGACTATAAGCGACATGAAACAAACACTAATAGGAGAGACTTCCAAGACATTCTAAATGGCTACTACCAAAGCCGGGGCTCCGTCGTTCATGATGCACCTACACTGGACGAGCACTACTACCACTTTGCTGCAGATGAGGAGTCTCAAAGAGACCGAGGCCACAGGAATAAGAATCAAGTCTTCACCAAGTACCAGCAAGAAAATAAGACGGGTGAGCCATTGGGGCTCATCAGAATCAGCCAGTTATGGGCCTGGACGATTGAAGACGGCAAGTAACCTACAAGAGATCAAATTTTTACCGCTAGTGCATAAAACTAATAACAAAGTATAGAATGGTTAATCACATCCGCTTCCTGTGCCGAAATCGACAACGAGAGAACAATTACGTTTATCAACTCTATCGTCGACCACCTTCGCACTCAAGTTGAAGAGGGTAGTCGTGAACGTGGCCCGAATTCTGCTGCAGAGCTGAGCAAATCCATTGCCGAGTACTGCGTTGGGACTTATGACAGACAACAAGAGGTCCAGAAATCGAAGTCTGACAAGAAGAATGGAAATCAACAAAATCTCGCGATGGATGTCACGAAGGACAATGTGTCTACTGACAAAAGCGGATCGACCACGAGGCATGAAGCCGAAACTAGCGAGATATCGATCCGCCAAACCTTTTCTAATTTCATCAACCGAATTGTTTGTGATGTCTAGCCTAATACACTCGACAAAAAGCAAATCATCTAATCAAATTTACAGGGAAGACAAGAAGCCGACTTATATGGCCAGTTTTCTGGCTATACAAGGACTTTGAGGCAAGAGGAAGAGACTAGCAGTAGTCACGGCAACCCATTGACAACCGAGGAAGCAGTCAAGAAGGCAGCCCAGCTTTTGTTCGAGATCAAAGATGTCCGTGACGAGTTGAACATACTCAGAACCGTTGCCGAATTTCAACGGAAGGTTCAGTCGCGCATGGATGGCAGAGAGCCTGACGCGATCAGCACTATGTTGGATGCAGACCTAACAGCTGCATATGTCAGAAATGACATTGATGAAATGGACAAGCTTGCTGGGAGGATTAGAGATGCTGTGAGTTCATCATCCCAACACCAATTGAGATGAGCAAAGTACTGATGATTGATTTCAGTTGCATACCACCATCACACTTCACGAGAGTGAGATTTCTCTAGACCAGGGGAAAAGGGTGATGATGTTTACGGTGATTACTGCTTGGTTTGTAAGTCTTCTCATTACTCAATCTCTCCCTGTTCAAGGATTAACACTAAGTCATTACAGTTGCCTGCTTCATTTCTCACCTCTTTGTTCGCCCTGGACGTGTCATCTTTTCTTCAAGCACCGTTGTGGTCTCTACTCGTTACCCGTATGTGTCTATCATTGCACCTCTCCGCTCGGCATACTAATACCGCCTCCTTAGTGCTTGTGCCTTGTCTCGTCCTCGGGTTGACGGGAGGCTACATGTATTACGGGCGGCACATCAAAAATGTCGCGAGCAAACTACCTCACTCCTGGGAAACAACTCCAAAAGACGTCTCTCACAGTCAAAGGAAAGAGACAGGAAACCTCACAGTGGGCAGCGCATCAGCCGCCAATACAAGGCGAAACGGGCTTTGGCGATCTTTGTCCGGGGTGAGACATCGAGGAAGCAGAGGCCGTGAGAACGGCGTAGAAATTCAAGTCTGATACCGTCGAATGGGCAGCATTCCTTCGAAATCTCTCCATGGAATGATCATGTGTTTAGACCATGTCAATTAAGCTGGGTAGATCACCGAGGGTAGCCGTGCCGCACAAGTTACTCAGGTAGGTAATACCTACTTACTACATTAGTATTAATATACTGGATGGAGAAACCATTGTTCTGGTCGGTGTGATGCGAGTTTGGCATCGATAGATGATTGAATCCAGTGAGTACCTATATTCGAAGTGCTTCCCAGAGAAGAGAAATTGCGGTCATAGTTTATCAAGTTTGGAAAGTCTGTACCAAGTGCTTCTAATGTTCCCTTCGTGGGTATCTGCAAGGAGCCAGGGATCCATCTATATTACGATCGCTCACTACCACAGACGATGTTATATGTGTGACAGGTCCAGTAAAGGACACAAGTAGGAAATATCTAAGAAGCGGAATTCGTCCGAGACACCTGGAATTGACATATCAAAGCAGGTTCGATAGTCCTATTTACAATCTCTCACTGGAAACTGCAGTCTCACTACTGGTTTCATTACCCGGATGTCCCTGTGCAAGAAGACCATTAGTTCATTGTACCATGACAAAAAAGCCGAAAGGAGCATTGAATTTACCTTGAGGCATTGGAGAAGCGCGTGCCAGGTGTTGGCGATTCTGCTGTAAAGCAACTTAAGCCCGGACCATACCAGGTAGGGTAATTCGCGGGTAATAAGAACTTCTGGCCTTGTATATGTACAGTCAGAGTCAGCCAACCGGAGAATGCTTTTCGTCTCGAGCTAAATTCGCTGGGACGTGGAGTGATGCGGACTAAGTCTAACTTCCGCAAGATGATAGGCTGCACAAAATCTTCTCAGTTTCAATATGTTCCAGATGCCAAAAAGACATAACAGAAGAGGAGAATTCCCATCAACAAGTCCAAATGGAATTAGGAGCGGACCGAGCTGAATCGATATCATCATGTCTACCACGAAGAAGTAGATCGAGGACCCGAACCCGAACCGGTTTTCAGGTTCTTTCGACTCCAAGAACAATCTTTAAATGTGTTCCTGTCGATCTTTTGGAAGCAGGTTTGGGTCATTTATAGTTGTATAGAAGTATCGTTTCATCTCGTCGAAGTGTGTGCCATAGCTGCAAGGTTGTGCAGGTGATGATCTTGATTCGACATCGTCACCGCTCATCTGGCATTGATAATATGAAACCTCAATTTCAACGGGTACTTCTTCAGCCTGGTTTCCTTTCATTTGAGAACTTTAGTCAGTACACGACCTGCACAAGTACCTTGGTTCCATGATCGCCAGGGACTTACCTGTGCGTACCTTTCCCACTGCCATCAGTGGCTGCACGAGCAGGAGAAGAGCCACGATCTGACCGAATCCCATATCGGTGGACTCCGGGGTTAAGTCTGGAGATCTGGCGAAGCGACGTAGGATGGCCTGGCTCACCGCAAACGAAAAATTGAAAATCAGGCTTGGTTATGTCGAACGGAGCGAGGAGGAATAACGGACCCCTGGAATTGAACGTCGCCTGGAAATGTTTGCTATGTCGCAGATGCCAGCTACGCACCTTGTGATTACTCCGTCATCAAAGGTTTTGACCGCAAACTTGTAAAATGGTCCTGGCCGATCACACTCGACACGGAGCTTGGCATCAAAGAGAGCATCGCGCTTCTGATGGGCAGCGGTCTTCTCTTGGTTCATGTCCCAAGCCAAAGCCCCCTTATAAAGTAGAGAGGGACGGCCCATGAGGTTGAGCAATGGCGCAACGCCTCGCCCAGTTTGATCCTTCAGGTAGGAGTTTTGCAAGCGGAAAATGTAGCCGCTCCACAAGTACAGAAGAGGGATGAGTGGGTATTGGGCATACCAGACTGAGATCCCGCGGAGATGGGTTTAAACATGCTGCAGATGCAGTACCCCCGCCACCGTGGTGCCAGTCCATATCCGAGACCACAGCGGTCGTGTACGTCGAAAGAATGAGCACGCACACCATGGTACATACCCGCAAATTAAGAAACCATCGACTTTGGGACTTGTATGTCTGTCTGAGGATGTCGAGGGTAGCCATATGCGACGTAGAGCAGAGCAAGGCTAGACTTTGCGCCACGGAGAACTCAAATTGGGACAACTTGTCTTTACCCAAGATGGTGGCGACAAGTACCGAAAATCGACCGTTCCGTAGGGCAGACGTATAAACATGGAAAGGCCGTCAGCTTTCCCGTATCTGATGACCAATCTATTCCGGCAGGAAGGGGAGAAGGGAAGTGACAGAAGATCAGAGAGCAACAAGGCCGGTATTTCGCAGTCTGAATGTAGATAGACGAAAAGTTGTAATTCACGTTCATCGCACAAGACCGACAAGACCTTCCGAAAGCGAGATAGAGTGTGATCCGAGTGGACTGCGAGACGAGAAGCCGCCGGTTTCAACCCAAAGAACGCCCCCTTGATGGCCATCATTCCCCCTTCGATCCTCCCAAAAAGATGGGATCTTCGGTTCCAAGCGCAAATCTGGGTCATCTCCCGCCCTGCCAACCAAAGTCTGACACCGAGATATCCGAAATTACATAAGATGGCAGCCAGTCTAAAGTTATGCGGCTCCTTGACGAGGTGCCACGATGAAACCGTATTTCTGGCGTACTGGTAGGACTGTAGGGGTAGTTCCCCAGATTCGGCTGGGCGCAACCCTGCAACCGACCGATCTTGAGACGTTTCAGCGAATGGCTGTGGTGGTGGGGTTTTCCTCTTTTTGGTTGTTGGCGACAGCGTCAGAGCACCCCTGCTTAGCCTTTGCTTGGGGTTCGTCGTTTTGGGAGAGGGGTGCTGGACAAACTCGGCAAAAGCTGACACCAGGTCAAAACTCGTCTCTTCTTCTCCTGGCCCTCCTTGTTTGGGCCGGGGCCGCCTTCACCTCATCTTTTTCGTATGGCTGATCGGTATAGCCCGTTTTAAGGTCGCAGGTGTGAGGGGTGGTTTGAAGGCGGTGCGACGTGTCGCATCAAGCTTAATTTCCCTTGCCAGACTCAGTTCCTCCAGTTTGCAGCCTGGGTGCCGCAGTCTGGCGGTGTTGCTGGCTTTGATTTAAAGACGGCTCGATGGCCTCGACTTCTGTGTCTCACTTGTTTTGAGAATCATCCCATTCGCTCACTCGACTTTCCAACTTGCAAACCTTCTCTTCGTTCGGCTGGTCCCTTGTTTCATTTTAACTGTTCATATAACTTAACTTTTCAATTCTTCACCCGACCTTTTCGTCTCCTCAGCAAATATGAAGTTCACCGCGGCTCTTTCCCTGGCCCTTGCCACCTTCGTGGCTGCCATGCCCGCCGAAGATCTGTCTAAGCGCCAGGCCATCAAGAAGGGCGGCAGCACTCTCGTCTTCAAGGAGCAGGGTGGCGTACCCGGAAACGAGTGCCTCACTTTCCGCAACAACGGTATGACTCTCTGGGATTGAACAATTCCCACGTTATCTGAGGCGACCCCACACTAACACGTATTATCTGCTAGGCGAGATCGTCAACGCTGCCTGTGTCAACACCGCTGCGGACAGACAGATCACCCCCTCGACCCAGGGCGGCAACAACGTTCTTCTCGTCCAGCGTTCTTTCACTGCTGGCTTCAGACCTGACTTGGTGAACAAGCAGGCTTGCGTCGGCTTTAACGGCACCGCTTTTCGGGCCGAGGACTGCGCTTCGAAGAATGTTGAGTTTGTGGCCCAGTCTGGCAACCAGCTTGTTGCCTCTGGCGGCGCCTGCTTGAACGGTCACGATAATAAGGCACAGGTGACTGTGTCTGCACAAGGACAGGGCTGTGCCGAGTTCACCACCACCTCTGTCAAGGCTACTGCCCCGTAAGAGGCGAAGTCTCACAGAGCACTACTCAGGGCAGACAGCTCATGTATACCATGAGTTCACTGTGTGTCTTTCACGGAGTACAGAGGGAGGGGGAGTACTTAAGTAATACTGGGAAAATATATCAAAATTAATAAACGTCCAGAAATGACATCGAACTTAGAGACCATGTGATTGATCCATGCTGCATTGCCTGAGGGCTACTACCAGGTAGTTGGGTTGCAGATTGCGGAATCAGTTCGCATATCATTCAATGTTGCTATCATGTAGGCAGACTATCAGGCGGAGTTAGACGTAGGATGTAAGCAGGCTCTGCACATATCCACGTCATTGTACATGGTCATCGACCATAGCCTGCTTATTGCATAGAAGCTACCTCCACGTCATAAGTGTCCGCCCGACTTCATCATGGTCCCAGCTCCTTTCGCCAACAACTCTCGCGCAGAATTTCTAGTAGATGTCAGCCGCGGACATGTCGCGCTGGCACGAGACCAATTGCGATCTCCCTCGTGTTGAGGTCGAAGATGGAATCCCCGTCTGTCGGGCGTGTCATCGAACGGCCCAAGCGGTCGAGCCAACAGCAGACGATGTCACGGCCGGTTCAATCCCGGCCATTCCTCCCAATCAGGCAACAGGTATGATGAACCTGTGGTGGCCTCATTCTGTTCCGTATAGGCTTCCGCCAGATGTTGTCAACAGCCACTTCAACAAGTCGGACAAGAGCCAAGAAGGCAGCGAAGTAGCAGAAAGTCTTTGCATTCAAAGGAGACCAACCGGAAAAAATGCCGAAGAAAAACACACTATTCCAGCACTTCATCCATCACCCATCTATCCGAAGACAATCCGATCAGAAGAATTCCGCCTGATCAATTTCCCGGCTGCCGAAACTTGCGATGGTCTTGTACACCTGGACCTTGAAGTTCACGCCTTTGACAATTGCCCCGAATACGAGGCAGTGTCGTATACCTGGGCCGGAGAGGACGATGATGGTGCTTTGAAGCATCCCGTTTACGTCGGTTCCCATTGGGATATCTTATGGCAGACGAAAAATTGCTGGGAGATGCTTCGCTTCGTGCGACCCAAGCGAGGCTTACGAATGCTGTGGGTCGATGCCATTTGCATCAATCAGGCCAATGTCGCCGAGCGTAACGGCCAGGTTGCGAACATGGCGCGAATCTACTCAGAATGCGTTCGTTGTGTCGTGTACCTCGGACCCGATATCGCTATACGCCCTGATGAGGACTACCCTCGACGAAGACGACTCCATGAACTAGAAATGGGCTTAACAGTACCTAAGTTTCCTACACATTCGACAGTGCCCCAGCCTATGTTAAGACTAAAAGCTATACTTGGGCGCAAATACTTCTCTCGCGTCTGGGTAGTACAAGAGCTACTCCTCTCACACAACGTCGTTATTCGCATTGGTGACGTTGACTTTTGGATCGACCCAATTGGTGCGTCTTATTTTTCAATGAAGGCCTCCAGTTGGAAATGGGAAAAAACATACGCTCCCTGGGCTCAGCATCTGACACAGGGTCAACCTATGTCGAAAGACCTCACTGAGCTCTTATTACTCACTTCAAAGTCACACTCTACTGATCCTCGCGACCGCGTATTTGGTGTATTTGGAATTTTGCCTAAATCTGGGGACCATTCAACTCGGCGTTACGCAGGTACACCGTTGCTGTCGGAGAATGGCCTAAAAGCCGACTACTCGTTATCAGCAAATCAAGTTCTCATCGGCACTTTCGCATACTCCTTGTTGGTCCTCAAGAAACTAGAGGTGTTATACCAGGCCTGTGGGCTCACAGGCCGTGCCCGAGACTATCCCTCCTGGGCCCCAGACTGGAGATGCAAGGACTGGAGTGCTATCTTCAGCCCTCCCAGAACCGTTGGCAGACTGAAGCACATCTGTGAGATAATCTCGAGGGAAAGTCCCACATATCAAGTCAAAAGCACCGCGTTCGAGTCATTGGGCTCTGGAATTGACTGGATTGAGGCAAACAAATCATGGCACCAAGGAGCCTTTGTCAATAGTGCCACGGGAGCCTTGAATGTGAATCTAACGCAATTCTTCACCTTCAAGACTAGACCGATTCGTATTGCCCGAATGCAGGCCTATCACATCTTCGTCATGCAACCTGAAGGCGCCAACGCAGCCTACATCCTATCAGAGTTTCGCCTCGACAAGCTCATGGGTCTCGGAAACGAGAAAATGTTTGTCTTGAATGCGAGCGAGACTGACAAGATTTTCCTCGTCCTACAGCCCATAGGAAATTCAAAGACAGATTTTGCGCTCGTTGCGTCCTGTCCATATGCCTTCATTGGGCAACCTGGCCATCTAGATTCATCTGAAAAAAGACATGGCCCATCCTCCAGTGGCTGGAATCTCCTCAAAGTTCTTCAATCAAGCCTCTTCGACTCTCTCAAGAGACTTCAAGAAATTTGCCTTGAAAATATCGTGGATAGTCACGATCACGGTGGTGAAGTGAGAAGGCGTTTGCTCCCCCATGCACGATTTTACCGTGATCTGGTACCTCTATACCTCAGACTGGTTGCTGATGATCAACCTGGCGTGACTCGGTCTGAAACCACAGCTGAGTTCTACCTTCGGTGGCTGACGGACCGGTATGTGCCCCGGGTGGAGGGAGAATCTGTGATATTCAAGTTCAGCATGCGTGAGTGGATAAGAAGCCACGAGGTGACGGGAAATGCGCCAGATAGTCGGACCCAGCAGGCTGTAGATTGGTACCTCTCTACAGTTCGATTGGAATGGAATGACTCGAAGGTTGTTCCCGAGAACTATCAAAATCCATGGGAATTTCGGGTTGCAGGTCAAGGTCGGAAACCAGCTCTGATGACTCAATGGGACTTGGAGAGACATCATAACCGATACTCGAAATCGTTACTGGCAGAGTGGGTTGAAGTACGATGCCCAATTTCCAACTTTGAAGACTGGATCTCGATAAACAGAAAGTCATCACTGTACCATCTCCTTTCGGCAATCCACAGGGCTTCAAGAGAAACAGGGGAAGGTCTTTCGGATCTTATTTCAAGAAAGCCGAAAGGAAGTGATCGCTATGTGGGTTGTATATTGAGGCCAGAGGACATGGAACTTTGGAATGAGCTAGGAATCTATGGTAGCACGTACATGGTCAGTATCTCGTGATGGAAGTTTTCTCGTACAGAGTTGTATTTTTGATCTACATTCAATTTGGAAAGACGTCTCCCATGGTGAGATATCTACCGGTCTAATGGCCTAACGCTGCAAGCCGTGCAATCTCATCAGCTGCAACATCACGTCCTGGGCGACTTATAGTTCTCTGTATCTTCTTTGCGTTTTGGCTCATCGTTAAGCTGGCAGAGCCGCCGTCAACCAGTTTCAGAAATGCGCTGCTGAGTTCGCTGAGCGAGAAAGCAGGAGCAGATTTCCTGTTGCCCCAAACTCCAATGTTGATCGCTTCCACACGTGCAGCGTAGTTATAGAGATCTAACCAGGCAGGAAGGATGAGCTGCGGTACTCCGGTACTAAAAGGCCAAGCATCAGTAAGATACATGTTGTAACAGCACATGTGCACGACGCAACTGAGCCGAGACTTACCTAATAGCTTCGTGATAACAGTTCGCACCACCGTGATGGACAGAGGCAACAATGTTCCCCGTCTCCAGCAATGCAGTCGGGTCAACCGTCAACCACTTTGAGACCCTGAGTCGATCGTTTCTGATAAACACGTCGACCAGAGGTTTCCAGTCCTCGTCCTTGAGACTGGCGGCTCTATTGAGCTTCCACAGAACCTGAACATCCGTACGCTCCATGACGACCTTCAATGCACCAGCCATATCTTGAGCTCTCCCTATGTCGTATTCGAACAAACTACCTAGATTGACGAGCACGGTCGGTGCCTTAGCCAACCAGGCGGCCAGTTCGGGATCTTGCTCTTCTGCCGAGGTACCCGAGATGACAATGGGCCCTGTAGTAGTGATATTGGCGGGAAGGAAATCGAGAGGAATGGCCGCCGTCGGGGTGTGTTGGGTAATGAATGCGCCTTTTCCAGGCTGATGGATATTAAAGAAGTTGATTGGGTCTTTTAGTCCATGACTGGCAAGAAATTTACGTTTCTCGTTGAGCTCTGCATTAAACGTCATTGTCCATGCGAAACTTCCCATCTGGTAAATGTTCGTAGGGATATCTCGCCAAGGAACAGGGAACTCGTGACCGGAGCCAACCCTAGAGAACATGTCAGTCTGCACTGCTGTGCTGTGAGGTCGGAGATCATAGACTGAATGTCGGCTTACGCTGGGAACTTCCAAAATCCCTTCAGCCATGGCTGATCCCCGGCGAAGCAGTCAGCTAGGACGTTCGGTGATAAAATTGCGTGCAGGCGCCCGTCTCCCCGTGTTGCATCCATCCCTGGTCGGTGAAACATGTCAAGTACCACGATCGCAGGATCAAGATTTCTGATATGATCCCTTATGCTCTCGTATATCAGGAGATGATCTTCCCCAGACCATGGCGAGATGAATTGCGCCATATCTTCATTCAGACCCGTCAACCCTGCGATCCCGGGCGGCTGCATCCAGCTCAATGAGGAATTCCGCCCAGACGCCTCCTGGAAGTTCGGGCCTGGTAGGTCATGGAATACAACAGAACGGGCTTGCGGTGTCTTTCTGCGTGCGTAGGTAGTTATCCTGTCGATCTTGGGCTTGATTTTGGACCATGACGCGAAGTGAATAGTGATATCTGGGTGGCGTTCGAGAAGAGAGTAGACAGTTGCGACGTGGACATTCGAAAGACCGTGTTCAATGTTGGTGATGAAGAGAACGGTATTGTTCTTTCCGATGACGGGAGTGAATTGTTCACTTTGAGCTCCTAGACCACGGCGAAAGGATATAACCGCAGCGATGAGGCCCACGATACATGCGAAGAAGGGCTTGGCGCGTTTGAAAGCAGTGGCTGCCATGTTGACACCGTACGAAGGGTCTTTCAGAATAAAGTCCAAGGCAAAAGGGCGCGAACAAGGCGAAGGAAACAGGGATCCTGTGCTCTTATGTAGCGGAGCCGAGACCAGTTCCAAACATCGCTCGATCAGGGTTTGAAGCAACAATCAGCCCTCTTTGGCATTGTACATGCTCGTAAATGTTAATAAGACATTACGGTCTCTTGCAGGCGCCGTCAGCTTACATGTAAAGGCCTGAGTGGATAACGCATCCGATTTCGCGCTGTATATGTGTTGTCGGCTTATTGTGGACACTTACCAGGTCACAATCGGTGTGACGAACCGATAACTCGCCTTACGTGAGATCTTACCGTTAGATTTACGGCCCTTACATGATTGCTGCCAAGATATCAGCTCATTCAAAGACAGCAAGTCCCGATTGATAAGATCAGTAGATTATCCCCGAAGGATTGCCTACTCGCACCCACCTTCCCAATGTAGATTCTAAGGTCTGACGCAACATGAAGGTAAGATGACATATGCCACGCATTAGCGACAGAAAGAAAGAACTCACCAATCTTCCGTACAGACTCTGAAACAATTTCTTTTCGGCTGGGATGAGTAGGATTGAGTACTCGGTGACTTACAGGGAGTTATGGGCAACGCTCCTCATGAGATATGCTCTTGACTCAGCGTTCCCTCAGAACATGAAATAAGAGGCTTGAAACAATTGACAGTATCCACATGTTGGTATCCCTATTACAGGGTAATTGGTTTGAACCGTGGGTTGACGAAGAGATCAATTGAACTATATGAATTTCTGCGTAGGTGTAAGAAGGAGGTTCCAACCGTAGGTTGGGCAGGACGCGATAATCGGAAGCAGGGGCCGTAATTGGCCCCTGCGCGGCCGGCCGTACGCCGAGGTCGAATTGGACTTCCAACCCGACACCACATGCAGACTCGAATACGCATCCTAGGTCGTCTTGTCCTGCCCCGATCAGATGAACAAATTTCGTGCCTATACCATTGTCATAATTCCTGAACAGAACATTCCGTCGATAATACAGGCGACTTGCACATTCGCAACCACTTAATAATACTACCTGAGGTGACACGCACTTGTCAACCAGCAAGGTATCCTTCCATGTACAAGAGGTCATTCGTGATTGCACGGCGCCAGAACGACAAGAAAAATGCATCATGAAGAAATTTGTCCTAGCAGATAGATACATTGTTAAGTGCCTTTTGTGTCGTTGTGATCCTATTGTGATTGGGCTACTTGATTGGGGCACGGAAACCGCAACTTTCCGATGATCGAGATTAGCGCCCTCTGCCCTTGCCCGTCAACCCGGCGCGGAACAAACCAACATTCAACCAACCCAACCAACAAACAACAAGGTCATATCCGGACACCATTGATCTTTCAGACTATTATTGGCATTTACGCGAGCCCAATTAGCTCTGCAGTATATAGATAAACGCGCCTCCCTAGTGGTACGACAGTCGCTGCGGGGCCGCCTACCCAAACAAGCACCCCGCACCTGGCAATGATAAAAGCACTCAGTCTTATGGAGAGAGTCTTTCATTTTTCCTCACATGCAGATATAACCCAAGCTTTTCAAAGTTTTCGGGGCATTGAGCACAGATTCTGCCTTCGTTGTGAGCTATCATGGAGGTTCAGTCCGTCCAGGTCTTTCGATTGGACGTCAGGTCGCAATTTGAAGGCTTGAGCAAGTCGCAGCAGAGATATGCCCATCATATGGCACGGTAAGTGATGACATGAAAGAGACACGACTGCTTCGCTGACACTCAAGAAGTGCAGCATGGCACGGGGCGAGAATTGTTCTACGACAAACCTCGCCAGAATCGCTGACAATATTTGACTTCATCCTCGAGCTTCACGCGGCGTGGAATGGCGGTTGGGATCAACTTGCTGATGAGATTGGAATCGAAGAGACGCACCAATTCCTCACTTACGCGGCAACCTTTTTGTCCAACTTAGGCAACTACTATGTTTGTCGTCGCAAAATTCAGTTGAGTCGATTCCGCTAACTATTCTAGGGATCCGGCGACCAGAAGTTCATCCCCGCCATCCCTGGGACCGTCTTCGCAAAGATTGCAACCAAGTCTGACAGACTTCAGGCTTTGTATAGCTCGTTTGCTGACGCTGTCTATTCATCACCGCCCTTCAGCCTTGGATATCCGGGAGAGACCACTCAAAGCACTTACTACCCGGGAAACCATATCACCAAAGAGGAAATCGCAATGGTCTCTCAAGTCTTGGAACAAAAGTCCATTCTCCCAGAGAACACCAGATTGAGAAAACTAGACGGAGCTGCCGGATTTGAATTGCAGATCGCTTCTTCCGATGACGGAAGTCTTGGTGTTTTGCCGTTGTCTGATGGGAGAGGCAACGTCAAGCTCGTGATGGGAGACCATGCAGCTGAGCTGGAGAAAATGTGCGTCGAGTTAACACATGCGGCGAAATTCGCATCCAACGAGCTCCAGAAAGTTTTCATCAAAGAGTACGTCGAGAGCTTCAGGACCGGAAGTCTCGCCAAGTATCGAGAATCACTGCGAAACTGGGTGAAGGATAAGGCGCCGGAGATCGAAAACATCTTCGGCTTCGTTGAGCCGTACAGAGATCCACATGGAATACGAGCTGAGTTTGAGGGTCTTGTTGCGATCGCAGACGCCGCAGAAACAAGGAAACTGACAAGACTGGTCGAGAATTCGACACAATTCATTCGGAAGCTACCTTGGGCCAGTCCCGAAAACGACGGAAAGGGGGTATTTGAGAAGTCTTTGTTTGACCCACCTGATCTCTCAAGCATACACAGTAAGTTCCTGCGGAAATTAAGGGAACATCAACTTGCTGACATTCCAAAGCGCTGGCATATTGCTCCAGTATCATATTTCCGGGAATCAACCTACCCAACGTACTCTTTTCCAAATTCCAGCTTGGTCAGCTATCGGCACGAGCTAACTTAGTGATAGTACAACGATATTAGGCAAGAGACAGGATTCAAGAATGTCATCATTGCTAATCGCATGGTTGCGGAGAGTAAGGCACAGGGTTACCCATTCATCGAAGACTCCGAAGAAGCCGCATTCCGCAGAGCTAAGTTCCCAACCTACTATTGGTGGGTTGTTCTGCACGAGCTTCTTGGACATGGCACAGGCCGGATGATGGTTGAAACGACAGAAGGGGACTACAACTTCGACATTCAGAACCCGCCCATTAATCCTCTCGATGATAACCCAATCAAATCCTGGTATAAGCCTGGACAGACTTGGACCGGTCAATTTGGAGATCTCGCCACAACAGTTGATGAGTGCAGAGCAGAGCTAGTTGGGGCGTACCTGATGGATGACAAAGATCTTCTGAAAGTTCTTGGATTTACAGATGCCACAGACGTGACAGCTGACGATCGTGAGAAGCCATTGGCAATGTTTGGCACCATTCAGAGGGCTGACGTGCACGGTTGAATAGTCGCGTACAACATGTACCAGCAACTGGGTGTGGATGGCCTGCGTGGCCTTGCCAACTACAATGTCGATAGCAAGGTACGGTTGGGAGAACATATTTATCAAATTGGAATATTCGCTGACATCTGCTCATAGCGCTGGGGTCAAGCCCATAGTCGTGTAAGCACAAGACGCAGGTATTCAATGCGGAGACCACATACTGACAAATTGACAGGCACACTTCGCAATTCTGAACTGGCTACTTAAGGACGGCGGGGACTGTGTGGAAATTGAACATGACAAGACTGCTGAAACTTTGACAGTCAGAGTTGACAGAGCAAAGATTTCCACTCATGGAAAGCCAGCACTTGGGAGGATGCTCTTACATTTGCACATGTACCGTTGCACAGCAGATGTACAGGCATGTCGAGTTTACTACGAGATGCTTTCGACATTGACTCCGAAGCATCTGGAATGGCGGAAGGTGGTGGTGGCTAGCAAGCCACCGCCACTTGTGTTTGTCCATGCCAATACGTCTCTGGAAGAGGATGAGGTTACTTTGAGAGAGTACGAACCCACAGTTGAAGGTCTCATACAGAGCTGGGCCGAGCGCCATATCTAAACTGCAACCAAGTCTTAGAGCTTTGTAAGCATTGTTAAACGATTGTAATGGTTACATGTATCAAAGAGTCTGACCCCATACAATCTTGGATAGTGAAAGCCGATAACAGTCTTGATGTCCCGGATGAAGTCAGTGCTAAAAAGGTCAAAACAACTTGTAGAGTCACGATGGTTCGGCTGAAGACGGAAAAGAGACGGCTTTCTTTTTTCTTTTTTCTTTTTCGGTCAATGCACTTGATAGTTGTGCGGTCGAGCTAGTTTACCTCTTAAATGGCCCCTCGTCCGACACATTCCTGTTGACCTTGAGGCATTTTGGGGCAAATTGAAACCGTGCCAATGAGGCAGATAGCTGAGTATGATAGAAGTGGCGAAGCATTGGGAAAAGAGTGTAGCTTTCTGGCCTCAACTGCGATTCTAGCTGGAAGTATGCATAGTCCTTGACGAGGAAGCATTTCGGCACGGATGCACCTTGCCCTGGTTACTCACATTACATTGAGAGGTTTGGAAACCATTGAATGGGAGCCTCCTTTAAGTCCGGCATATTCCGAGTCATCTCCGAGTTGGAAATCGTGACCTAGTGAAATAAGAGATCTGGAACATCCTTCCGAATTTAAGAAGACAAAAAAAAAGAAAACCAATATAGCACCAGGTACTCACTGGTGGTCCCCGACGCGACTACCAATCTGGCCCTCAAAAGGCCTATATATGGGTAGGTACTTAGCAACGCAAAAATGGTATAGGTTACTATCACTAGTAGGCAACGAAGGAAAACCCAGACCCTACCTGCGAGGGAAGGAAGGGGGGGAGGGGGCTGGTTTCAACACTGCTCATTCAGTGTGTGTATGGTGCCTCAAGCTGTATAATCCCCTACCGAAAATAGTACTTTACGGGCCAGGGTCATTAGGATCTGTTGAGCATTCCTTACGTACCTTCCTCTATGCGTCTTTCTCCAGTGTGGTCTCATCCTGAACGCATATAACCACTTTAAACGTCAGAAAATCAGGGATTCAGAACAGTATTTTGGGCAAAACACAGGAAGACTTGGAAAATATCGAGCAGAACTGACACTCGAGAATCTGTATATAGTGGAAGCATGCTGCTTATATAAGGATGGAGTCCCAACAGAGTTTGTAAGTACGACAAAGAAATTGAACACTGTTGGAACCCCCCCCCCCCCCCCTACCCGCGTAGGTAAGCAAAGCACGTCTCTTAACGAGCGAACCAGCGACGGCGCGGATACGACCGCACGGCGCAGACAGCCGCCTGTCGTCCAGCCCACCCATCCTCACTCGTTGCGACTCCCCATCCCGTTCCGCCACCAGGCTGCATCCTGAATCTCTTTCTCCCCCTTCAATCTTTCTGCGGCCTTTGTTTTTCGTCTCAAAACATTTGTCTTGCCCTGAGAATCATTTCAAGCCTACGGCATACAAAGTTGTGGAAGACGTCAAACCCGCCCCCGCGATTGATCTTCCGGTCACTTCGAAGTCGCATCGGACCCACAATGGACTCCTCCACCGCAACCACAGAGATGGAGCCTCTCATCAACTCTAACCCGGGGCTGCAATCCTACTACTCGTCGCTCGAGTCCCGTATCGGCTATCGCCTGGTTCTGGGAGGAACACGGCACTTCGGCTATTGGGATAATGACACCTACTTCCCCTTCCCCCTTAGTCGCGGCCTACGGGCCATGGAGGACAAAATGGCTGAGGTCCTGAACTTGCCTGAAGGATCAACGGTTTTGGATGCTGGCTGCGGAAATGGTCATGTTGCAAAACACCTCGCCAGCAAGCATGGCCTCCGAATCGAGGCGTTCGATGTCATCCAGCGCCATGTAGAGAGGGCGAGGAAGACCATCAAAAAGGCTGGTCTCGAGAACCAGGTGACTGTCAACAGGAGGGATTACCACCACTTAGAGTCGCTGGCAAGCGAGTCATTTGATGGCATCTACACCATGGAGACCCTTGTTCATGCCACGGACCCGGAGACTGTTCTGGCGGGCTTCTTCCGACTGCTTAAGCCCGGCGGCCATCTCGCCAACTTTGAGTACGACCATGAGTTCATCGGGGATTCTCCGGAAGTCATGGCCGATAACATGCGCAAAATCAACGAGTATGCCGCCATGCCGACAAACGACCGGTCACATCCGGGCGTTTTCAGGCAGCTAATGGAGGAAGCGGGCTTTGTGGATGTTGAGGTTCGCGATTTCTCCGAGAACATCCGCCCGCTGTGCCGTCTGTTCTTCCTCCTTGGAATTATCCCTTACATCTTCATCAAGGCCTTTGGCCTCGAGCGCTACTTCATCAACACCGTCGCTGGTGTGGAGAGTTACCGGGGCAAGGGTCGCTGGGGGTTCGTCGCCATTTCGGCTACCAAGCCTGGAGAGACCATTGAACCCCCGAAGTCTCGATGAAAACTTGACCCACTAGCACTGAGGGATCTGGAGTTATGCGAAAGCTAGCAACTGTGTTGAATTCCAAGGAACGCTGGACTTAACAAGGGCCGTTTGAACGACTCCAGACATGGGAGAAACAGTTTCGGGGGAGAAGATAATCAATTTAGTAGGAAGTGCCGCGGAAAGATGAGGGATGGTGAACCTGAAGTGGTCATCTTACTAGAGTACACCACTCACGATCAATCCAATGAAGCCGAGTCACGACGCAAATCTGTCTACACCGGCCACGTGGGAGCTTTTTGGGGGCATGGCCGCGGAATATGATTGAATGTGATTGTGAACGTTGCAACACGACAATGAAAGCTATTCATAGGCGTGACTGAATCTTCAAGATAATCATACTGTTACCACATGAACTTTGATAAGATTAATCATTACGACTTTCATCGATTTAGATTTGAATAGCATTCAGTGCCGAATGTAAAAGTTTTGGTGACATGACCACCAACACAGCCCGTGAAATGAAATGTTCGACTTTATCTGGGTGTTTCTTGCAGTCATTCTCGGATCTTTCATGAATTCTGAGGAGTCAAACATCACTGTCGATCCCATTAGTTCTCAGCTTTGTATTGTAGAAGACCATATATCAGGTCGTACACGGTGACGCCGAGAGACCACACGACGACGACTGCAGAGTAATGAAGTCATTCGTCTTGGAAGTGTTGTTCTAAAGAAACTATCCCAGCCAAGAACCTCTCAAGGCAGGCTGTGGCGCCCTGTCGCAAGTATCATTATGCTACCAGAAAGGCATCGTAATATTCGATCCGACACATCATAGAAAAAGCAAACAAGCTCTACTCGAAGCATCTTAAAGGATATGAGTACTAAAGTAGCAATTAAAGTAGCAATTAAAGAAAGTACTTATATAGATTTTGTGCTATAGGACTAGTGTAGAATGGGTCGATATGTGGAAGATAAACATCAATCTAGCCTGTATCCTGAGGATAGAACGATTACTAGTAAAGTTCTGATTATTATTCCAGAAAGGGAGACAACCCTATTGAGCCGTAAAGGGGGAGAGGGTGGGGGGATACGTCTGGCGGGGTGGCCAAGAGCCACGAGCCACCTCACTTAAGAGTCACTCGGCTTCTCCAAACACAACCAGACTACCAAAGATTACACATTAACGGAATATAAGAGACGAAGGTAGCGTCAAATAACCCGCACTGCAGAAAGAGTTTTGTCAACCTGCTACTCCGTTGAAAAAGTAGAGTATACGAAAGCAGTATCTGTTGTCATCAGCTGGAGAAAGTCTCACTCTTTACTCATGTTGTTCGTCCACTGCGGTCTGAAGGGGCACGACCTGATATGCTGCATCCTGTTGCGTGGGGACTGGCAGCGCAGAAGACGGGAAACACCGACAAGGGGAAAGGGTATTACTGGGTTTATAAGGCATCTCGAACAGTCTGTAAAGGGCTAGCTCACACGCTTATGCGTGCAATGGTGGCAATCGACTGGGCGAAGTGCCCAACTTGAGCTGCTTGGAAAAGGCGTGGGCATAACCACAATTTCCCTAACCTGTAGTCTTATTATACTGTCCCTACATGTCATCGGCATCCACGACAGAGGCAAGATAAGCAGTGATTCGACGGCTACACACGTAAAGTATTCAGGGTCCCAACCGACCATGCAATGGCCGAGACATTGCTCGGACCACAGACGTACGACAGACTTCTGGATATCCGCTCAATTGTATTTTAAGAAAAGGATAAGCGGCAAATGGTCGTCATTTTGGTTGGACCTGTGGTCAACATCCGACAGACCCAACCAACAACATTGAAAGGCCAATCACACTACAACTCTGCCAATCAGCATGGCCGGCTCGTCAGAGCCAGGGGTTAATCAGCTGATGTGCACTGACTACCCGGTTGGTACTGCGTACAGCAACTGGAAACACCCTTGACACTCGCCCTGGACGTAAGTACCTGAGAGTAAGGTCCTTAGATCTCTCCTTCACAAGATTGTTGCGTAATGCTCTGGCTTCCAAAGCAAAATCTAGCGTTTGTCATCTGCACGGGGGTACGACAGTTCAAGTCGATTTCAAGAAACGTACGTGTGTAGCGTCAAGTTCTTATTTAATTGCGAAAGGCTACATGCCTACTGTAAACTGATTGATGAAGACCATGTAGCTCCGGACGAATTGCCAGTGTCATGAGCCGTAATTAGCAATTAGCGGACTACCTAAGTATATCAGAACATCAAAGCAGATACAGCGGCCACTTGGTCAGGCAGAATCTGGCGAATCCCATCCAGAACCAGAACTCATAAGCTTTGGCTCATCGGCCAATCGGCCATTGATATAACAGCATTTCAGTTGCCAGGCTAATTTTACTTGCGTTTATGTACACTCCATTTTATTGACGTCTTCGATACAATTTCTGTTGGATACCTTTGCCGTTGCGTATTTGCGGCCGGACCCGTCCACACAAGCGCGCGGCTGCAAGGCGCTCTGTTCCCTTGGTAATAGGGTACTTGCAACCTGCCACCCCCGCCTGAGTGCAGTGGCCACCACGAATTCCAGCGCGCCCACAAGGTCACATCGGCGGCACCGTAGGTGAGTATCATCCCTTAGGTCCGGTAGCCCCAACCCGGGCCAAAGAGCTATCTTTAATCTTCTCTTCTGTGAGCTCCGGGTGCGACAACGAAGCAGATAACGGGAAAGATGTGGATTGAGTGACCCGCTGATCGGATTGAGAATCGTGGGTTGGTGCGGGCATACGTACTCTTCTGAGGAGTCCTCGACGCGCGCGCCTAAGTACTGTAGGTTCTTCGTCTACGTTTGTCACATACACGGCAAGAATCCAAAGAAATATAAAGTGACGCGCCAACATCCTAAGAGGGTCCCGAAGCACCATCCAGGTTTCACTGCAAAACATTGCCTAATACTTTACCTTACCTACTTTTGAATTTCGTACAGAGTCATATCGTCTCAATCTCATGTCCGCCAAGATGTTGACGAATAAGAAGATAGCCCAGCGCAAGGCATACTTTATCATTCCCAATACCCAATATAGGCCTGATGACCAGATTCAACTCGGCCAGCTCATCGAAGACCCTCTTATACCTCACCGACCTTTGGCGCCCCCGATTAGACCGTTCCCTGCAAATGCAGCTAAAGTTCGTTTTGAAAACGACTGGTCCCAGGAAAGATCCATGGAAACTATCGGCGACATTGGTGTCTTTGGTCAGTTTCTCTCTGCAGCCTCTGCAGAGAGTTCAATCAATAGATCGATCGATGTCACACGATCTTGGAGTGCAGCTCGGCTTGAGACAACATTTCTCGACCTGGGAGCGGATAGGGAACATGATTACGTCAAGTCCAGTGTGCAGACGGCAGCAGTGCAAAAGTTGCTCACGAGTGAGACATTTTTCAAGAAGCTGACCGTCAGGAAGAAGGTGTTGTACATGGTCACGGGCATCAAGATCGCGAGGAGTCCCCACCAGATCTCGCATGGGGAGAGCAAGATGAAAGGCGGTGCCGTGAAACTAGGCGCGGACCCTGGGACTGGCGGAGCGGTCATGACTGGCATACAGGGCAGTTTGAGCATTTCCATCAAGGACGTAAAGACTTGCACGCCGCATGACGATTTCGTCTTTGCGTACTGTCTACGCAAAGTCCACGTCAACCTCCGGAATAACAAAACCCAGCTGGGAGGTGATGTTCTTGGGGCCGAGATGGACAGAGTCTTCAATCGGATGCACTACAGTCAGAGGAACACGGAAGAAGAAAGCGATGAAGAGGAGCCGCAAGACATAGTTGTACATGTTGACGAGATTCAGAAAATCCTCTTCGAAAAGGATGATTTCGGACACTCTTTGCCGGCTCGGTACGCCAAGAACAATGGCTTTGATGAGACGAATGGCGGCAAATGTATAGTTATAGTGGCAAAATAGCACCGCCGAAACAAAGAAGACTTTCTGGTACATGCTCTTAGCATCCTTGTCATTGAAACATATTGAATATCATCACCAAAGAAACCAAAAATATCCCATTTCAATATGGCCCTAGACAAAACCTCAGCTTCTAGGCAAGACAAAGAGTCACAGAAGTGGCCTGTCTTCCCAGGTGGATTCTTATCTGATGATTGAGCTACCCTGATATTGAGGTAGTCGTGCTGCCATCTATGCACTCCATTGGAAAATAACAGGTGGCGTACTGTGCCTCAGAGTTATCTCCTTTTCGATCCTCAAGCGGTGGCAGTCTGAGCCGCAATGGGTCCCTTGGCACTTCCTGAACGCCCAGAGCCACCGCTGAAATCCCAATCAAACTCTTGCGCGCCAGTCACGGTGACTGGGCTTCCGTCCAGCTCAACAGTCTGTGTTAAAGTCACAGTTGGCATTGATGTGTCTATATGACTTGGGAGACACGGCCATTCGCTTTGAACGTGCATTTCATCAATTCTGCAGATCAGCGGAGTTGACGTTAAGCTTAACTCGACGCTCGGAAGCGGCAGCATTTCTCTGCATGGCAGATCGGCATCCGTTCCCCGAGCACGTTCATCTAGGCCACGTTGAAGTCGTCTTTCTTTGAGTGGGGCCGGCGGCACGTCTCGACTCGGGATCCCGGGAGTTTCCCGCGGCGAGGTTCCCGAGCTTATCCCGCCGGCATCTTCTCGAGTGATGGCCGCACCGTGCCCCTTGGCGGCTGGCATCAAACTATCAAGCCGTACTCCCGCATCCGTTGAGGCAGATAATAAGTCATCGCATTCTTGTGTAGATGTCTGTTGGATCTGATACATGTGAGTCGAATCATCTGGTGTAAGGACTTGAACGACTCATAGTTTTTTGTCAGATATTTGAGATGTCGAAGACGACAAACCAGGGTCCCAACTGGCGATTGACATTGGGTCTTCCGCTAGCCGTTGCTGGGATTTGCGCCTATCTTTGGACAGGGCAGAATGGAGCTAGCCAGTCGACTACATCAAAGTACAGCTCAATAGCTTCGGTCACGATCAATCAAGGCACTATTGCGGGCAGACTTGTGACCGACGGCACATTCCCAGAACCACTGGAGGGTTTCATGGGAATCCCATATGCACTTCCTCCAGTCGGACAATTAAGATTCAGACATGCAGTCCCGGTGCCGTCTGGGAATGAAACACTGGAGGCATTTGAGCTTGGTCCAAGGTGACTCTGAACCCAATCCTTCGAGAAGTTCAAATGCTAACAGACATGTAGATGCCCGGGAAAGCAGCTTGTTCCTTTCACGGATGACGAATGGCTCGGCCCTGACTGGGAAAGCGAAGACTGTCTGACGATCAATGTGTATCGACCCAAGGGGCACACGGCCGCTGCCAAAAAGCTGCCCGTTGCTGTGATGATTCCTGGCGGGGCCTTCAACCGTGGTGCTGCACGGATGCATAATACCCCGTCTATGCTGGCGTGGTCTGAGGAACCCTGGATCGGCGTGTCGATGCAATATCGAATTGGCGTTGCCGGTGGGATGAACAGTGCACTGACGAAGAAAGAGGGTCTGCTTAACCTCGGACTGAAAGACATGTATGTGGCTTTGGAATGGGTTCAAAAGAATATCGCGGCTTTTGGTGGTGATCCTGATGATGTGACTATCATGGGGTTATCCGCCGCGGCGCATGGAGTTTGTTTGACATACCTCCCAAATTGGCCGTTGCTGACATCACTTAGATCGGGCATCTCATCATGGATGTCAACCAGAAGAAGACTCTCTTCCATAAAGCCATCATGGACTCGGGAGGCCACACTGCTCGAGTTGTGCATCCGCCTGAGTCTAAGCTGAATGAAGCTCATTTCGAAGAGTTCCTTGAACTCACCGGCTGCGGTAACAGACCTGAGCACGAGATACTCCCCTGTCTTCGAGCACTGCCATCCTCCACAATCATCGAGTCTGGCCAGAAGATATACGAGCAATCCAACCCTTCTGTGCGATGGGCTTGGCAACCGGTGCTAGACGGAGACATCATTTCAAGGCGACCAATCGACGCGTGGAAGTCAGGAAAATGGAACAAAGTCCCAATCTTCACAGGGTCTGCCCATAACGAAGGAGCAATGTACGTTCCCAAGATGGCATCAACCTCTGAAGACTTTGACAATTTCTTCCGCACACTCTTGCCCCAACTTTCGGACAAGGATATAGCAGATTTGAACGAACTCTACTCAGATCCTTCGAAGAATCCTGACTCGGAATACGTTGAGACTCGACCTCTTGATATTGGATCACAGTACAAGCGCGCCGAAGCTGCGTACGGTCACTATGCGTACACATGCCCCGTTCGTCAGACTGCGATCTGGGGAAGCAAGTCATCAAGTGACCCTCCCGTGTACCTCTACCACTGGGCCTTGAATAAGACGGCACTATTCGGCGCCAATCACGGCGACCAGATGCGTTATCAGACTTACAATGCCGAGGTCAGGTCCATTTCACCAAAGCAAGATGAGATTGCCGGCTTCATGCACGCGTACGCAACATCCTTCATTGTTCATGGCGACCCGAACAGGATCAAGGGCAGGTTTGATGGTCGCCCTAATTGGCTACCCTTTCCAGGCCAGGAAGGCAGAAAGGTAGGGAAGACAATGATCTTCGGTGAGGGCAACGACGAGCGTGCTGGTGGATCTGGTCTGGGGACTTCGGCTGAGTTTTTGGACTACAAGTGGGCGGAGAAAGAGTGCAACTTTTGGTGGAAGCAGACGGAAAACTTCGAAGACTAAGTCAGATGGTCTTATACTCAGCTCGAGTCTTTTCAGCATCGGCGAGGTATGCTTCGTATTGGTTGGAGTCTTCAAGAAATGAGTGAGTACTAAGCGTGAAATGAAGGAAATAGCTCAGTCATTAGTCATAGGCCTATCATCTAATAATATCATACATTGAGGCGTCAGATCGATCATCAACCACATTAAAACATATCCCATAGATTAGGAAATAGCTCATCAATCATGGGAACATCCGACGACATCATCAGTTGCTGAAACTCCGGAACCGTTGCCGAAGGGCTGTCGGCAGTCTGCAAACGCTCAACAACCTCGCCGTACTGAGCTAAGCAGAGATCACCCAAATCCCATCCCGATTTTTGTTGGTGAGATTGTAATGAGTCGATCAGGTTCTTTGCCAGCTTTAAGGATGCACTCTGAGCCAAGCCACCGGCGGTGTTCTCGGTTTCCAGAGCGCATCGCAAGAGGAATGTCATTGCTGATGTGAATGCGAAGGCACTGACCGGCAGCCAGAAGTCGCTCAAATGGATCTCTTCCAGTTCCTGCACGAGGAGAACAATCTCTTCCGCGGCGCGGCGAACTTGGATGTATCGGTTGGTGAGTGCGTCACCGGGGACTGCGTCTTCCTGCTTCTCGATATCGAGCTCGATCCTCCTGCGGAGTAACACAGTTGAGAGATAAGCCAGTCTCAGGTTCGCCGCGCCGGGGATATGTAGGTTGTTTCCGCGGGTAATGATTCGCCTGACATCGTCGCTAAGGGAGTCTTCCCACTGACCGATGCTCAGCTCTAAGTCAAGAGATGTCTGGCTGCTATCTTGGTCTCGGCCCTGGTTGAGGTCGTAGACATGCTCCAGATACTTATCGAGAACCCCGGTCAAAGTGACCAGACCGATAAAGACCGAAGCGGCCGCAATTTGAGCTTCGCTTGCGTCTTTCCCGGTGAGATACTCCAATGAGGGATCCGGCACGTCGTACTGATAGCGCTTGATTTGGGGTGGCGTTCCATAGGCTAGGCTCAGCCTGCACCTTAGGTTAGTTGTGTTCTACTTTGTTATCGGCGGTAAACTCACCATTTGTCATGAACAACGAGTGCCCACCATATCTTCATTCGTAGACACTTCTCCGGCATGGAGATGTTCCAGTCCACAGGGTCTCTGTTGAGCCCTAATGACTGGGCAAGTGATACAGCGGCGCCGAGCTGGATCTCGTTCATGATCATGGAAGTAGTTGGCCTCCCTCCTACATTGAGGATAATGGCGATAATGGTGGATATTCCCGGCGAAATATGGAGTTCAGAAAATAAGGTTTCTGTGGCTTGGTTCCAGATAAATCGAGAGTCCGGGCAATACTGTGAGGGCAATTCTGGGCTGGTTTTCCAAAAGATCATGGAGTGGGCATAAAGCACGGACAAGAGCGCCGGCGATATTCTGTCTCTGGCTGTGTTGAACTGGTGCTTGAATGAAACCTCGTCCAGAAGCGGAAAACATATGTTGACCTTTTGGAAGTAACTGCGCGGTTCAGATCAGCAACGACTCTCAACGCCCACTTCTGCTTCTGCTAGCACGGCTTCACCATTGACATGGCAATGGCCTGGAGGTGAAGGGCACATTGGGAACACCGCCAGAACTTACAGATCTATGAGTTTCGAAGTCCACGGCTCCAACATCTTTTCGACAATCTGATATTTTTGCAACGGTGCCGTCTGCCTCGGTGACAGACCATAGGGACGCTTTCGGACTGCTGTAAAGATGACTGGCTTCCGAAGACCCCCGGCCATTGTTGGACGGGGCAACTGGCCCACCTGAGCTCCTGGCCTAGGCTTCACCACACGGATCATCCGTTCGTGGATGCTTGGCTCAGAACTCAGATAGTCAGCCAACACCTGAGTGTCATTTGTAACAGCTGGACCAATGATGTGCGAGTTGTCTTCGTCCTCAGGACTGTCCAGTGCCAGCATCAAATGGGTGTTGTGCGGATCAAGCACAACTTTGGGGCCTGAGCTGGACGTCGTGCTTGTCGGTGGAGAACACGATGCCCCTATGCCACCACCCTGGCTCTGAGGTACAGAGACATGGACCTTGGCTGATGCCAGAGGCTCCCGTCGACATGGCGTGTTTGACTGAGGGGTGCGATAGGATTTCTGGACTTTTCCGGGGTTGAGCGGTGCTCGACCTGCACTGCGAGGAGACGGTGGGAATTCGCAGTCCGTGCCATAGACGTGGCACATTTGACAGGTTGACGACGTGATTCCCTCTTGCTGCTGGCATCTTGACTTGCGCCGCCTGCACTGCAAACAGGCTGGGCGCAAATGGGACCGGTAAGGCCGGGGCGTAGGCTGATCTGTGACCGTGGACATGGTTGCGTGCTTACTGCTCGTTTCTGGCGTTCAGTCGTGGTTTGCAAAGTCCGTTCATCGGCAGACCGCACTCGGGGAAGCTGAGTGGGAGTTGTGTCTTTGATATTTCCCCGCGGAAAGGTCCACAACCACTATCATGGCTAAATCCCGACCAACTCACGCTAACGAAGATAAGTTGTTAGTCAACGCGCAAGCTGATAAGGCGGAGGTTCACCGAAATGTCTCCACTCACTCTTCAACCGTCGATTCAACAGCTTCGGCACCTAAATCTGCTCTCCGGTCTTCATTGGTTTTCCGACAATGGCAATGGCTGCACAGTGTCCACGGCGACTCCACTCCTTCATCATGCCCCCATTTCAACGCGGGGAATTTCCTTCAGACCCAGGACCCTTATCAGCAATTGGGTCTTGCTAGTGAGGACTGCTAGGATATGACGCTGGCTTTGGCAGATAATATCGCCTGACATCTTATCTGTAGCCTATGTTGTCGGGGGTAGGCCGCCGCCCAGAGATATGTTCGAACAGTCGCTATCGGTTAGTCTCTTATCGAGTTGGGGACTTGGTCTTGGGGTTGGTTGAGGAGTCGACAAAGCCAATGCCGGAAACCTTTTACCTCTGATAATGACAATGAATAAAAGGAGACTCCCGACCTTGGAGTTTGCCGATCCGGGAAAGTCCCGACATCTCGCAATTGTCCGAGCTCGCGACTCAACAATTTCGCTTGACGTTGTAAAGCCTCACTTCATTATAGCAACTTGCGTTTGCTACATGTAATTCTTGTGAACTAGTTGTGCCCACATCGTCCATCGCGTGCTTGAACACAAGAGCGACGACCCGCTCGCCCACTTCCCCGGACTCCACAATGGCGGTTGAGGCTTCCGTCAACGCAGAGCAGCCCAGGCCCAAGGATCTGGAGATCGCGGAGAAGCAACCCTCTCGGCCGGGCAGTATCGGCGAGGACCTCAAAGCCGGTCAGGTTGAACTTCTCGATGAAGCCGAAATCTTCTTGCAGCAAAATGGTCTTTCTCATGCGCATCTGCGAGAGCTCATGGAAGATGAACAGGCCCAGAAAAAGCTTGTCCGCCGGGTAAGTTTTCCGGTCTCGTTCCTCTGGAGGACTCCAGCATCATCCCCTGTCTTCATAATGCGAATTCTAACGCGAGTGCCATTTTTAGATCGATCTCACATTGTTGCCCCTTCTCATGGGAACGTACCTTCTGCAGTATATCGACAAGCAGGCCCTGAGTTACGGCGCAGTTTTCGACCTCTTCGAAACAACCAATACTTCTCAAAGCCAGTATTCATGGCTGGCCAGTATCTTCTACTTTGCCTACCTTCTGGCAGAATGGCCAGCAAGTTACCTTGCTCAGCACTTCCCCACCGGCACCATTGTCAGCATCTTCGTCCTCTGCTGGGGAACAGTTCTCACCTGCACCGCCGCATGCCATAGCTTCGCTGGGCTCGCCGTCTGCCGCTTCCTCTTGGGTGCTTTCGAAGCCGTCATCACACCCTGCTTCATGATGATCGTCAGCATGTGGTACACCAGGGCGGAGGCGCCGGTACGCGCTGGATCTTTCTACTGCTTCAACGGATTCGGTTCCATGATCGGCGGCATTCTGTTCTACGGTGTCGGTCAGGCAGACGGATGGGATGTTTGGAGAATCATCTTCATTATATGCGGTGGTCTTACCATCGTGTGGGGCATCGTCCTGTTCTTCTATTTGCCAAACAACATCATGGCTGCCAAACGATTCACCGTGGAAGAGAAGGCCCTGCTTATTGCTCGCAGCCAGAGCAACAAGACTGGTGTCTTTAGCCGAAAGATCAAGCCAGCTCAAATTAAGGAAGCATTCAAGGACATCCAAGTGTGGCTTCTGTTCTTCTACACCCTTCTCAACGAGATTGTCAACGGCGGCATCGCCAACTTTGGCAAACTCATTGTTAAGGGCTTTACAAAGGATGCCCTCTTGACGACTGCCTACGGAATTCCGTATGGAGCCTGGGTTGCCTTTTTTATCTTCACTGGTCCCTTTTGCGCTTCGAAGTTCAAAAACTTCCGGACCATTGTCATGATGACGTGGGTTTTGCCGACACTCATTGCTGTTTCCCTTTTCTTGAAACTGGACCGCGGCAACAAAAATGGGCTGTTGATGTCATACTACATTGTGAGTGGTGTTCTTTCCCTTCTCGAATGTTGCTTCTAACATGGTTTGCAGAGTCCCTCCTTCGTCGGTGCTCTTGTCGTTGCGCTGCAAATGCCGGCTGCGAATGTCGCGGGTTACACCAAGCGTGTGACATCAACAGCCTTCGTCTTTCTAGCGTATTGCGTGGGAAACATCATAGGCCCGCAAGCTTTCCTCGCGTCGGAAGCGCCCATCTACGGCACTGGCTGTAAAGTTATCATGGGTTGCACTGCCGGTCAAGTCGTATTGGCTATCGCCATTCGGCTGTTGTTAATTAAGAGGAACAAACAGAGAGACGCGGAGGCGGAGGCTAGTGGACACAATGCGGAGGATGTATCTGATGAGGTTCTCATGGACTTGACGGACTTCGAGAACAGGAAGTTCAGGTACTCCTATTAGTATAAGATTTTCCGCGCGTATGAGAGCAAATGTTGGTAATAATGGTGAAATCCAATAAAAAGG